TGCTTTGTTGTCCTGTTGCTTATTGTTTTTGTTGCTTATTTCATACTGAACTGGATGTTTGTGTGTCTGCACCCATTTGCTGCCCTTTAATGATAAAATGCACACTAACAGATTCCCACAGGAGAAGCCTGAACGGAGGCTGCCAGCTCATTCTATGTTGCTGAATGTTATTGTTTAACCCTTTCAAAACATGGTCCAGAAGGTTGCTCATGTGCGGGCCAAGGGACCACGTGGGCAAAACTGAACTAACAGATTACAATGACATTTGTGAATAACAGTGTTAATGCTTTTAACTGTTCTTTTAAGTGTTTTCCTTTAATTGATATTGCCTACGGTACAGATGGATGATTAACAAGGGTTTGCACTAACTATCTATCTTAAAGTATGAGGTTGAATCCGCTTCGATGCTAGACTTAGCAGCTGTTCAGGGACAGAAATGGAAGGTAACCTGTCTGTGTTTTTGGACACGGTGTTATTGGTCACTGTGAGCTCCAAGATTAAGACTCGTTCAGAGAGGGTGAGACCGGTTTAGAACATGCTACTGTCAAGCCAGAGTTCTCTCAGAGAGACTGTGGAGCAAAACAACTACGAACCAACTCAAAATCTCAATGCTGTAGTAGTCTGTGTTTTTCCTACAGGTCCAGACGTGATCTTATGGTGGATTGAACTCACACCATGTGAATAAATGAAATGCTGTCTTGTAATTGTTGGCATGTTAAGTAAATTTGTTAAAGTTTTCCATAAACAGGTGGCCAAAGCCTTAACAAGCCCAATCCATGAAATTCATTTCTGTTTTCCTTCCTGAGTGATGGCATCAGCAACTTACAGAGTGCTGGTGCTGTAAAACGGTGACAGTATGACAAAATGTTTGGTGACATTGCCTTCACAGCTGCCCTTTATAGCCACGGCTACTCTCCCTCACGTAGAGCCAGGGAGTTGTGTACTCATCAAGGGCCACAGGTTCTCCTTTTAATTGGTTTTTCGGGGTCCTTTCCAAGTGCTTTCAACCACCGAAACCGCAGTGAAAGTCATGGGACGGGATATCTGGGTCCACGCCAGCCGCTGTAAGTCTATCCCGGAGCCCCGCGACGACGTCGAGCCTCCATCCACTCCCAACCGGCCCGAGCTCAGCAGACCAGAGGTGCTAAGGACAGCACTCCAGAAGTAACAACAAGTCACTATATTCTCGGTATTCTGAATTGACCGTACATACAGCCATAGGTCATAACGTGTGGGGCGGCTGTGGCTCAGGAGGTAGACGGGGTTGGCCGTTAATCGGAAGGTCGGCTCCCCCAAGCTACGTGTCGAAGTGTCCTTGGGCAAGATACTGAACCCCGAATTGCCCCTGGCAAGATCAAAGCACCATTAGATTGGTGAGTAATGCACACACTTGGAAAAGCTTTTATCTGATGGAACCAGGCAACAGTTTTTCAAAACAAAAGGTCTCAGACACAAAAGTAGTCCTGCAGAGAAACATTCACACTTGTAGCTTTCGTAGATGTGCTTGTTTTATCCCACAAGTTAATCTAGGAGACATTATAGATACCACGCTAAAGGTCAGTTATCAATATGTTACACATGATATTTGATAGCCGAGGTTCTCATCCGGGATGAGTACAAATATAAATATGTTTGATCCCCTGCTTGTTCATAACTAAACATAGTCTGTGTTCTGCAAAATTGGCCAAGACTAATTTTCTATTGTCAATTTTCTGTTCTTGGATGTCCATTTATGGCCAGAGGGAGGTGTTTTATGGCAGAAAATTGTGTCCTCTTACATTTAATCTTTTAATATTATCATTATTATTACTATTATTGTTATAGATATATGTATTGTGTTTTTATCCTTAACCTTTCCTCTCCTAAACTCCTTATGTTGGTCTGTCCACATTCACTAGGGTTTAGGTCAGAGCTGTGAGATTGTTATGGTGTTTACCTCTCGTTGTTCCTCTCCTCTCCCTGAATGTTCATTCAAGGCTGAGAGAGGATCTCTGTTCCCCAAAACATAGAAACCTAGACTGTGTAAATGATGATGCATCCCTTTGCTCGGGGCCAGACGCTTGTAACTCAATTATTTGCTTCCTTTATATTCCTCACCAGGAATATAATTTCCACGACAGAGAAGATATATCAAATTATAATAATATGAGAAAGATAATTTCACCCACAACCACCGTGGGTGGCGGCTGCTACTTTCATTCACTGTTTGACACTAAAGTTTATGTCAGTTTCTGTCAAGTTTAAGGCTGTTGTACAACAAGAAGCCAAGGTACAGCGTAACGTGCAAAGTTGATGCTTCCTCTGCAGGCTGGTTTAATCTTGCGTGTCATGTGACCAGAGCGTAATCGCAGCCTTTACGATTACAAAATCTCGTTTTATTACATCGCAAATGCAAGTAATCTTTCAGCCCTACTCATGCATTTCCAGATAATATATATATAATCAATTGTGACAAGAATTTAGTGGCTTTGCCAGTTGAGATTGTTGAAATTGAAGCCCGAGTCCGGCTGTGAATGGGCCATCTGCACTTCCATCCGAAATTAAACACAGCAACGGAAACAATCTCAGTGAAAGACCTCAGGGAGAAAACACAGAGGGGGAAACAGCTGCTTCCACTTTGCTTCAATGGAAGAAAGAAGTTGTTTGAATCCTCTAAATTCCTCTTTGGTGACACAACTCTGTCACTGCGACTATTTCAAGCCATGTGATGCCTCTCTTAGCTTAATGGCTTAGTGATGTTAGTTTTAATCAATCTTTAGTATAATTTAACCTTACTGACCTTGTAAGTTAAGTTGTGATCAAACAGTTGTTAGTTTACAGACCCAGCACTTACATTTTGAGTCATGTTTTTGTCCAACTTATGAGTGCAAGTCTAATATTCACTCTCTTTTGGCTCCATTTTTATAATTAAAATATCTGGCTCTTTAGGTGCTAAATGCTCCCCTTCGTTCACCAGCTCATCTCTCAATGTGTATGTCTGCTGTTTGGTGCTGAGCAAGTAGCGTGCAGTGAGTTTTTTAACCCTAAAGGCACTATTAGAGTGGCGAGTGAACTTGAACACTAAAGATTTGGGCAGGACAGCTAGACTTTCAGCTGAAACACCAGTGTTTCCCCTGGCGTTCTTTCCAGTGGGAGTGGGGGACCCGGAAGTACTAGAGTCACGGAGCGGGCGTGATGTGGACGCGAGGTGTCGTCGCACACGCTTTTGGCATTTTAGCGCTAAAGTGAGCAGCTCCTGATGGAGCTCGCTACAGTTATGCTACATTCAGTTATTGGCCGACGAGTCCATGAAATCCAGTTTATTTTGTTGCCATATTCTGTTGCTTTCCGTTTCCGTGTTTTACAATTTAAGCACATTTGGTCAGCAGAAAGGTGGATGAATAAAATTAAGAAAATATTACATATTGAATCACTATCAAGGAATTTTATCTATAATGACAATATGCAATAGAGAAATATTCAAATGCATGTGCAATTATTTATGGGAACAATTCACAATAAATGTATTGTTGCAGAACATGTATTGTGAATTGTTCACTATCAAACAGGTTATTACTTGACAGCCTCCATATGCTGATAAACACAGGGTAATAAGGGGGTCTGACGGAGGCTCCTCTCACGTGGGCAGTGCTCCTCCTTGTTTACAAAGCCTGACCGTAGCTCCACACACGGCCCCACCGCCTCTTCCAAATACGGTCACGTCCGGTGCAGCTGGCGGCGCCCTATCGGCCAAACTCGAAGCTTCAAAACGGCAGTCCGCAACCCAACGGGTGACGTCACGATGGCTACGTCCACTTCTTGTGTACAGTCTGTGGTGTGGAGGAGACACTGAGCGCTGAGCCCACCCCTCGCTGAAACACCGAGGCAACGCTTATAAAGACCAAAACATGGCAGTTAGTTTATCTGTTTGTTTGGCTTAAGTGCTTTGTGCAGAAACGCTAATAATACTAGGAAACTCCCGACTTTTATAAATGCATCAACATTTTGGCAGATTCCAAGATATTCAGTTTTACAGTTAATTGCATTTTTATTGTCAAATTTTGCGATTCTGTCTGTAAATAAGTAAAATGTTTTATACATTTAATATGCATATGTTGTCTCAGTGTTTTCTTCACTTAGAGGCGGGGTGTTACAGAACTGTATGATCAAACAGCTGTGGACCTCCAACATGGCTGCCGGAGGACGTGACGCCCGCCGCTCAATGAACGACTGAATAAATGTAAGGGCTGCATCGCCTGCAGAGATTCAGAGCCTCAGACAGATGGCGGTGTCACCTGATATCTGCTTAAAGATGTCGCCCTAAATCCCCTGCAGTCACACATGCACACGCACGGGCAGCCAGAGGTGTGTGCGCGCATCATGCATGGGCTTATAGAGCCATAAACTACTCAAGATTAAAAGGTAGGAGTGTGTGTGTGTTTCTGCAGTGTGTGTGTGTGTGTGTTTTAATCTGGCCAGGCAGAGTGACAGGGAGTTAGATGGTTATGTATGTGTCAGCAGCAGCAAAGCTCTGAATCAAACCACATAGAGGCTGATTGGTTGGTTGCAGCGTGACATTTATGCTCCGGCTCGTCAGAGAACAAAATCCAGCTGCACGACTTGTTCTCTCTTTATTTATTTATTTTTTTTATTTCAGAGAACTGTGAGAGCAAAGAAACGGGTTTGTAGAGATGATTTAATTTCCTGAGTGAGTTTTGAAGCATTTCTTTTAGCAGATGTGTTTAGTTACATCCGCATATTTCATACTACTGTAGGTGCATCGGTGCAATGAATGAATCATGACACCTACAGCAAGTGTTACTACTGTTGAAGTCGTGAGTCATCTGGAAATCTCCCCTCACGAAACACACATTCCTGACGAAAGAACCACCCAAATTCTGACTGAATCACCTGACTGACAATTTCACTGGGAAATGATTTGTATTTTAAACACCGGACCCGTGTGGAGGACTTGAGCGAGACCCAGTTGCAGCTGCTGCTGGTCAGCGTGGTGATGTTACCTTGTATCCCATGGTGTGTGGTGCCGCACGCTGTGTTGCTGTTGTTGCTGCTTAGAAACAGACTGCTGCCTTCAGGTTTCCCCTCATCGCCTAATTGGACGACATTGTGAGCTTTCTGCACGGGATCCTGCACACACAGATAAACACGGGGAACATATCTGTTAAAGTGCTCAAAGGGAAATGTTGGTAATCCTTCAATTTTAGTGATAAGAGTTTTCTTACGACTTTAAGCTAGGCTAGGCAACGCTGGAGCAATTAGCAAGACGTTGAAAGAGTCCAACCGAAGAAATCCCACTCTCTCCGGGCCTCCCCAAAACACAGAGTGCACGAAGGCAGATAGGCCAGCCAATCAAACGAAACGATTGGCTGTGCTTATATTAACAACAAAAAATGCTTCTAAAACAAAGTGCAAACCCCAGCTTTAAAGATATTGTTAAATTTGAGCTCCTGGTAGCTCCACAGCTTCTGAGTGACAGTAGTTTTATTAGTATTTGATGTTTCTGCATTCCTCCAGTGGTGAAAGTACATTTAGTCTAAGTACTGTACTGAAGCACAAATCTGAAGTACCGTAAAACTTTGATTAACAGACTAAAGGAATATAAATAATCAAGGAACGGACACATTCGGACTTAACGAGTGCTTCAAAGGTAACGGGAGTCGGCACTTTTTTGCCTTTTCATTTCTTGTATCATGTCGGTTACACCGGTAAATCTATAAGAATTAGACTTTTAATATTTGTATTAACGATATAAGCAGCTTAGAAAAAAACAGCTTATTTTTGTCATACTGCACATTGCTGCAGCTCCTCTTTTCAGCCTGTGTTGAAGGCTTCGTTTTAGCTATGGAGTGATACATCTTGTCTCTAAATGATCTTTGTTGGGAGTTGCACATGCTCAGTTCCTGGTTAAGGACTACTAGCCAATCAGAAGCAGAGCGGGTCAGCGAGAAGCCGGTAAACAGCTCGGGTTCAGCCGTACATGTTGCCGACCGGCTTGGCAACACGGACTGGAGCGAGAGTTTCAGAGCGGTGAGTTATTAATCTGTATCCATAAAGTTTTAACTGAGCTCTGTCTCTACATCACAGGAACAACTTTCTGTCCACTGACTGCCTGGAGGGTAGCTAGTGTTTGGAAGGGAGAGGAGAGCTGTGTGCTGCAGCTCGCTGTCTTTCCACCGGTGTTTTTGAGGGCTTGTTGGACTAGTCGCTTGGCGAGCGTTATATGAGGGAAGCGGCTGGACTACAAACGAGCTGTTTTCAGGCAGTTCAGAGCAGAGTGGGAGATGGGAACTCCCTTTGAGCTGGACTTTGGGCTTTTTCACTTTGCAAACCTGTTACATGCACAAAGAAGGTAGTTAACTCAATAAAGGAGAGGGAAAAAAGCCAAAAAGCAGAACACCACCTCTTTAAGAGGTTTTATACATTAAAAGAACTTCTATACAAACCAGACCAGGCGTTTAATCGAGACCTGTGTTATTAAATGAAGTTTTACGGTACTTTAATTGTCTTTTCTTCTCATGCCACTTTCTACTTCTACTCTGTACATCTCAGCTGGCCATACTGTACTTTCTACTTCACTGCAATTACCTGATGGCTGATATTTGTTATGCACCACAACACCATGGCAAATTAATTGTATGTTAAAACTTATTTGACAATAAACCCATTTCTGTTATTGAGGCCGTCTCTCTCTCTCTCTCTCTCTCTCTCTCTAACACACTGACAATGGACCCGTCTGTGAGTAACATTCAGTGAGTGATTCGAGTTATTCGTTCGCAGGAGGAATGGGATGCGTTCAAGACAGCGACCTGCTAACATTCCTCTGCAGTGATTTAACAGCATCTGTGTTCAAGGGCGTCACTTTGTGTTGTGGTTGGGACAGATTAGGGCGTGAAGAGACACTTAGCTTGCGAGACATCACAACACGCGATATTAGGTTCTCAAGAACGAGACGATAAGATCCTTAAAAAGTGTTTTAAAGATATTCTCAGTGTCGAGATATATGAGTGGGGGGGGTCTGGGGGAAATTGTGATCTTTAAACACTTAATTTCCTGCATTCTGGTGAATGTTTCTGCACCAATTTATGGTGGAAATGTTTTTATTTATGTAAAAGGAAACACAAAATTCAGCTTGCATGTGACATTTCAAAATATATAAATATAACAGAATCTAAGTGAGTGCAGCTCTCAGTCATTCTGTGCTGCTGTTTCTCCTGTAGATCAACTTTTCTCCAGTAATATCATCCCTGCTGAGGCAACACACATGTAGGCAGGATTTAGTCTTCCCTCCTCTTTTGTCATGTCACACAGGGAGAGAACGGAAAACTTTGGGTCATTTTATAATCAGCTAAAGTTACTGTTTTTGGACAATGCACAGTTCTTCTATATTTAAATGCATTGCATGTTTTCTTATTGTGCAAAAAAACCTTTATAAAAAGGTAATTTTATTTGTTATTTAACTGCAAGCTATATTTCAGAAAATTTTTTAACACATTATGCTTTAAAAAGCATAATCGTCCACCTATAACACACCCGCACACACGCGTAACGTTAGCCTACTGTTTTGAAAAGAGGACATCTATAAAGGAAACATTCACTGATGTGTTGCTGCTATTTCATTTTGCAAACACTATCTTTCTCCAACTAAATTCTCAGCTCATAGGCTTAACCTTCACAAATGACCGTTCTCAGTTCAGTAGTTAGTGAGCTGACCTGAACGACCGTGTTTCAGGTCAGCGAGTGGGCGTACGCAGCTCAAAGACTCGGTGGACGATTCTTTTGAACGAATGGTGATTCAGCACACTGAACAGGACTGCTTTGTTTGTCACTATGACGCAGACAGAGAATGTCAGGAAGGCAACGCTAATGAAAACGGAGATGTAAAGAGAGAGAGCAGAAAACAAGAAGGACGTGGCAGATCCATCAACAGGTGAGATTCACAGCAAACATGTGGGAAGGTCAGGTAAAAAAAACAAAAAACAGGTTTATCAGGATACGAGCCTCATTTCTGCTCTTCACTGAATACACTCCGTTAGTTTGACTCAACGTGAAGCAATGGAGCTGTAGCCGATATACTGTTCAGTAATTTATTGTGTCAAAAGTACTTGGCAAGTAAAATATTTGCAGTGGAGCACCTGGTATATGTTAATAATTGATTTAAGGAAGTGAGGTTGTGCAGAAAGATGTGATTTTTCTTTTTTTTATTTCCTCTTGTGGGGACAAAAATCAATCTGAATTGACCCGGAGAGATGAAGTGGAAGAAACAAGTGACAATCAGGCGAAGAAAAAGAGAAAACACTTACAAAGAAGGAACGTTAAGTTAGTACAGTATTAACCGTACATGAAATAATTACTAAATTATAGCAGTCAATGAGTAATGAGGTTTCCAACCGTAATGGGACGCGACCCGTATTGAACTCGCGCTTTGTTCTGTATTTTTGGAGAATCATTTCAGTCAAAGCTTACAGGAGGTAAATATTACAGGTTAGACGATCGAGTCAGGGCGATTTGTATGAGATGGAAGGAAACCGTCACAGAACAAGCTTCTCATTGGCCGTGACTCACGATGGCGTTCTGTATTTCCATTCCAGGAAGATGGTAAACCCTAATGAAGTTCAAAGGCACTTCCTCTTACAATGTAAAACATTCAGTGAAATAGTGAACATTCACTTTAAAAAGGTTAATTCCGCAATTTTAGATTTTAAATTTTAATGCCCTCTTAAAATTAAAAACACATGATGCCTGATAGGAATACCAGCAACCTTAAGGATGCACTGTGTGTGTGTGTACTCTATATCAGTCTTAATTAGGACTGCAACTGATGATTATTAGTCCATAAAATGTAAAGAAATAATAATGTGACAAATGTTCATCACAAAGCTTCAAAGTTGCTTATTTTGTCAAACCAAACAAAAACCCAAGAAATCATAAATGACAAAAGGCAAACAGCAAATCCTTACATTTAAAAAGCTGGAACCACCAAATATCTGACATTTTATCTGAAACAATTAATCGTTTCTCACAAAAGAAGTATTTGGACATTAAATTAAATGTTGATGTTTTGTCTTGTTTTGTATTCTCGTGACATTTTTGATGCCAATGAAGCTTTTTTTTTTTTTTTTTTAACACAGAAGCCAAATAAGATATTACACATTTAATAAGCAGGCCATCATCAGAGACCATGCAAGTCACCACAACATCATTACAAGACCATGACAGACAGATATCAAGCTAATCGATCTAGCTTTAGCTTATCTAAGATGTTACGTTGATATTCGTTGATCTGTGTTAAGTGATGCTGCTCTGTTACCAACCAGTCAGCCGCGTCGTTCCTCTGATTTATCGTCGTTACGATACCGATCAGGTCGTTGTTCCCGCCGCCATGTTCCCGGTGTGTCCCCGTCCCGCTGCCCGTCCGTCCGGTCCGAGGCCGTGTTCGGTGTCCGGTGGCATTTGGAGAAGTATAAACCTGACCGTCTTCTTCCCTGTCGCTGCACAGGATGCAGCACCGAGCGTCAAGCTGACCACAAGACAGAAAAAAGGCGCTTCCGTCGTGGTTTTCAAAATAAGAGCTAAGCTCGATCGATGGTTTGAAGTGCTTCTTTATTTTCTTCTTTAACTATATAATGGCATAAATGAGCCATACAAAAGAGACTCCCCGCTGCTAAAACCAGCAACAGTAGTATAGGTAATACAATTGTGAATGGTCAAATGTTATAACAGTAATCTCTGCTATTGTCTTTCTTTCTGGAGGAACAAGCATTTTAGCTCTGTACTGAGAAACCTTTTAATTCTAATGTAATTTATTAACAACACATAACACACTTTTTATACTACATACATAATAATAGCATAATAATATAATAATATTTCTTCTAAATGCTATACAACATACATCAAATCAGCGTTGGAGAGGTGTGCAAATACAGTCGCAGGAAAAATTAACCCCTAGGCTTCACCGAAAGAAGAAGCAAACCTATTTGTGTTTAATTAAATACGATGTGTATTTCTATTGTAATGACTTAGATGGCTTCTGATCAGATCACAATTTATGACCAGTTTATGCAGAAATTCCGGTAATTTCTTTTCCTTTTCCTTGACTGTATATAGTATATGAAAAAAAATAAATTTAAAAGTCCTAAATGTAAATTGTTACGTAGTTACTTTGCACCACTGATTATGTCGCGGTACCACACCTAGAATCGTGGATCGCTGACTGAATGTCTTGTTTCGTCGGTTTAAATTATTCATTGTAGCTCAACTTATTTATAATTCATTAGGGGGTTTCCAAACAGTTTGATAATAAATTGACGATCCATAAGCACATCCACTTTCCATTTAGCCTAAGTGTGTTTCTATTAGACCTATGGTTTACCACTACACCATGAGGGAAGGATACGCTGGCTGTCATCTGCTCTGACTTTATGACGTCATTGATCTCAGAAATTGCTCACAGAATTTATCAATGTATGTATAATTTATTAGGGCTTTCCCAAACAAGCTAAATATTATAATAAGATGCACATTCACTTCCCCTTTAGTCTAACTAAGGTTTTCATTGTTGAGGTAATCCATTTTCTATTATCACTTCTCCATGCATCACTGCATTTTTTGTTATTGTCCTGTAGTGACGTAATACTTTATATATTTTAATTTGAAGAGATGGGATTATCACCTGACATCCGGTTTTCTCATGCTCAAATCGGTGTAACTTGCCAGATACCTCTGCAGCAGCCAAGACACGCAATCTCTGCAGAGAAGGGGGGGGGGGGGAGATGAAGATGCACATACACAAACAGACCAGAGGACATCTGTCCTGAATTAGTGACTGATTTTTGAATGTCAGCATCACTATTACCACAGCTGTCATCATACTATAGGAGTATTATTATTGTAATATTTATTATTTTGTTTGGTTAATGGTGTACTCTTCTACAGTATGTTAGAAAAGTATACAAGATAAAACTTTATTGATCCCCAGATGACAAAGTCACATGTTACAGCAGTACAAGAAACAAGATGTAGGACCCATATAAATACAGCTTAATGAGATATCACAGCACTTAGGCCATACACTTTGTGCACTGTGCAAAAAGCTGTAAATGTTAGGTCATTAATTGAGTAAATGTGTTTAGATACACTCCACCACTCAATCATTTTTTGTTTGTTTTACTGTGAAACATTATTTAAACATGCTAACAGGCAGAGAGACAGATTGTAAAAAGTGTGTGAATCTGAAAGTAGGGTAACAAACAAATGCAGAACTAATACATAAAATGAACATTTATTAATGTAGACATACAAACAGAGATAAATAAATAAATATCATGTATGCGTGTATAAATAGACATTTCTGTATGTAAAAATACTTTTAGGAGTTATATGTAAAATTAATTTATGCATTAAATTGTTGATTCCTTATTGAGTCCTGTTTGTATTTCTATTATTATTCTTTTATTTCTCATGAAGTTATGTTCAAGAACAAAACAGTAGTTCCCTGACCGGGAATCGAACCCGGGCCGCGGCGGTGAGAGCGCCGAATCCTAACCACTAGACCACCAGGGAGGAACACGCTTTACTCCATCTCCACTCTCTTTATCTTTAACGTCATATGTCAGCTATTTTCAGGTTTTATCTATTAATGTCATCATTAACCGCAGAAACCCTGAACTCTTACCTACATTTAGACCTTTCGTGTGTCAGGACGAGCTCTTCGTGTCAGTGGCGGATAACTCGGTTGTCGTCCTGAAGTTAACGTCAACAATAGCTAAACTTAACTCACCGAGAATTTGTATCGCGTTACATGGTCTGACCGGTTAGCACGGTCTGTAGTTGGCGGGTCAGCGATGCCTTGTTTACTATCTCCGTACTGAACGAACACATATTATCTCTCACACTTTGTCCATCTTCATTAATGCATGGATCCTATTTGCGTTTGTGGGACCTCGTGGCGCAACGGTAGCGCGTCTGACTCCAGATCAGAAGGTTGCGTGTTCAAATCACGTCGGGGTCATTCTTTTCCTCAATAATTGTCATTTTTCCACATTTATCTTTGGGTCAACGGCGATCCAGGTAGTCAAAATATATTCAGAAAGCTCTAATGGCGCAGTTACTGATATTAATAACGTAAATAAATACAGTATGAAATGTGGGAGATCCACATGAACATGACTTATCAATACATAGCCTATATAAATATGTAAATAAACAGATTAAAGACTAAATAAATGTGGAATGTCTTTGCAATATTTCTATGTGTACTCATATATTTCTGTATTTCTACATTTACAGTGTCACTGTGCACAGGCGACAAATCTAGTTTGATTAGTTATCTAATATTATCCTCACCATGACATGTTGAAATTGTTGGAGGGAATATTGGATAAACACAGGATTATTAGAAAATGTCTGTTAGATTGAGAAGTTAGAAAGGTATAGTTTCCTGAGGTAGAAGGATTCTGAACGTTTACTTAGTGTAGTAGCCTACCTACTTTTACCACACTGTAAAAGTACTCTTGCATTGAAAATGTAAAATAAAAGTATTATGTATAAATAATAATCAATCAATAATAATAGTACTTTATACTTGTATAGATTATTATTCTTCATATTATTCTTCATGCAATAATGTTAAAACAGGATTTTACTGTTGTAGTTATTGAGGTGGAGCTCATTTTGAATTATTTTGTAATAATTATTTTTATTATGAATTCGTCTGCTGATTATTTTCTCCGTTAAAGTGTAATTCTGAAAACATTGAGAAATGCTGTCACAGTGACCCAGAGTCCAAAGTGACACATTCACAATGCTAGTTTTGTCCAACCAACAGTCCAAACCTCAGTATTATTAACAACATTCATTGTTTTGTGTGTAAACATCTTCCTTTGTAAACTAACTTGTGACTGAAGCTGTCAGATAAATGCAGTGAAGTAAAAAGTACAATATTTCCCTTTGAGCTTTTGAGGTGTAGACGTAGAAAGTGGCATGAAAAGAAAATATTCAAGTAAAATAAAGGTACCTCAAATTTAGTACAGTCCTTGAGTAAATGTACTTAATACTGTCTGTCACTGATAGTGTCAGTCAAACAGAGTGAGAACTGGAACAGCTGATGTTACATTCAACTTTTTGGCGTCCTCCGCCTCATTTTTAAATGTGCTGCAGCTTGTTGACTTGGAGGCTTTTTTATTTGTCCACTTTGCTTTTAAAGAACTCCATTTATGGGAAGCTGTGGTCTGTAGAGCAGAAGAACATAAGTGAAAGATTTAATTTCAGAAGGGTTGAAAGTAGTAAAAAGTAAAAGTTTCAACACATGTATTTTCTGAACCCAAAGTGAGCTTTTGTGTCTGCATCTTTTCAGACGAGGAGGCACTGATGATACGTTTTGTAAGAATTGACAATAATTTGTACATTTTGTTTTATTATTTTATACACATATTTAGCAAATTAAAAAAAACAAAGCTCTACATATCACATGCTTGGAAATAGATCTAAATGCTTCCACACATACGACACAAACAGAAATAAAATTATACATTGCAACCAAATGAATTCACCTTTAACAAGGAAACATATCTTTTTCATAGCATCTTTCTTCTTGCAGTGCAAATGTGAACACCAGCGGCAAACAGCGAGGTTGCTGAACACATCAAATAAAAGCAAAACAAGTCGTGCTGGATTTTCGGAGAGAAAAATCTAAGCAGGTTTTGCCGTTTTTGTTACACTATCGTGGTGCCGCGGCGGCGATAGCTAAAATATTTTAGGCCAGTTAACATCAGTTCTCAGATTAGCCTAGGCTAACAAATAGTGCTCACATGTAGGTGTTTGATCTTACGATTTTTAGATAATTAAATTTCAAATATTGTTGATTATTATTGAAGACCAGGACTTATTTGCTGTCTAGCAGAGATGAAAAGCTTGATGTCATGCTAGTTTAGCGTAGCATACAGACTGGAAACAGGGGGGGGTAGCTTGGCTTTGTCTAAAGAGAACAAAATCCACCAACCAGCACCTCTAGGGCTCATTAATTAACACGTTATATCTCATTTGTTTACTTCTACAAAAAAATGAAGTGTAAAAACGACATCTTGTGTGTAACTTCCTTGAGTTTCCACTGGTTGGAAACTTGCAACGACACTGTGCAGAGTCAAGAAATTGTTTGGCACGTAACCCACCATAAAACAGGGAATTTATATACTCTACAAAAAACATAGAAAGTGTTAATAAAGTGACCTTCAGAAGTGCTGATAGGAGAATTTTGTTATCTTTAGACAGAGCCAGGCTAACTGTTCGCCCCTGTTTCCAGTCTTTGTGCTAAGCTAATCTAACTGGGTGCTGATGTAAGAGCGCTCTCAATCTTCTCATCTAATCTCCACCAGAAAGCGTATTTCCCAAAATATCAAACTCTTTCTTTAAATGTTTCATTATATGGAGATACATTATTAGATAGTTAAATTCATTCTTAGCCTGGAGACGGCACAAAAATTACACAAGAATGAAAAGAAGCCTAAACACAACGATACTGTTATCAACACCACAATGCCAATAACGAGAAATGTGTTTCCTGATCATAAAGTTACAGTTTAAGGGTTATGAAAATTAGATAATCAAGTTGGGATTGTTGATGTTTAAAAACACAGCTGTGGTAGCAAACATCAACACTGAGCTGGGAGTAAAGTCTGGGGGCAATAAATCAGAATCAGTTCAGTGAGTGTATCTTTGTTTTTGTATGTAGAAACATTAGGAAATTCATTGCACCGTATGTGCTGCCACCGTGTTATTCTTAATATGACTGCAAGATGGCATCAAAGTAAAGCTTTTTAAAGAATAACTTGTTTACAAACTCAGTGGAAGGAACCAAACATCATGAGTGTAAGCCTGATATCTCTTCTTCACCATAGAAGCAAATGTGGATTTATCCGCTACTGAAACCAGTCCCCAACAAATGCACTGTTTCCTCAGTGACCAAGTGTTTTTTCGGAAATTACTATAAATATTTGTGAGATGTTTGGAGCTGAGCGCCACAGACAGGAAGAACTGAGAGTGGGTCTAACATGGTGTTGGTTTTGGGTTTTTTTGCATGGGATTTTTTGACAATAAAGACATAATAGACTTATTCTTTAAAGTCACAATTAAATAAAAAAATAGTCTTTCATAGTTGCTGGAAATTTTCCGAATCCCAGTTCCATGACTTTTACTCAAATGACCACCTGCCATTCTCCGTCTAACTGATCTCCTATTAGTCTACGCTTGAATCTGAACCGTCTGCAAAACATTTAGGAAGCAAAAAAGCCGGGTTTCACGACATGCGGTGACTCCCGTGCTAGCTTGTGGAGCTGGAGTGTGACTTGTGGATGCTGACTTTCTTGCGGGTGTTGTCGCTGCAGCGCTCCAGGATGAGCTCCGTACTGGGCCGGGGAGGGATGACCGGAGCCTCCTTCTTCAGCTCGCTCTCTGAACTGGAGCCAGACAGCTCAGGAATGTTTTCTGTTGGTTAAAAATAACAAAATTATGGGTGTGTTTTTTGTTTTATGGGTAGATTGCCGGTGCCATTTGTTTTCCACAGGTTGAACTGAGCTTTGCTTGATCAAAATAAACTTGAGACATGTCAGTATGTTTTCATTACCCTTGTTCTTCCTCTCCCTCAGTGGTGACTTTTGAGCGTTCTTGTGTGGCACTGCGAGGTGGCCGCCCTTCTGCTGGAGGTATTGCCGGCTGTTCCTGCGGTAGCTGTCCTGGCTGAGCTGCTGACGACCCCTCTTGTGGATGCTCTTGGCATTTCGGATGGTGGACCTGAGACCGGAGAAGGACACACAGAGTCGCACCAGTTTAGTGGAGGTGTTGATTTCACAGCTTTTTTAAATGCTCCCTGCTTTAAGAGTGAATCTTAAAATGAATCGTTTCATCACTAGAAATAATTGTTCAGGCCGGCAAGTGTTTTCATTATAAGAGGGAAGAACCAACGTGAAAGTAACATCAATTTCTCAAGCACAAAGATTTTAGACTCGTCTGATTATGTCAGTTTGTGTTTTGTTTAATAACTTAATAAATGTATTAATAAATTAGTCCACTTGTGTGTAAGCAGGCCTGCATGTTAACATAAAAATCATCTAACATGCTGAATGTAACGTGTGTGATAACTGAACTCACGCTGGTACGTGATACTATGAGCATTTATGTTAAATGCTAACTGCACACATTTACATGATAATGCTGGGATGTTGATGATTCAATTAAATACGAACCAATAAAACTTTATTCATCCCTACAAGATCTCATTATACAGCAGCTTGCCTCTAAGTATGTAAGCATGTTGAATTTGTAACAAATACATTAAAAGGCAAATAAAAATATCCAAATATATAAAATATCCAAAAGTATCTAAACAATACACAAAGTTATGAAGCCATAAGAAAGCGAAAAACCTGCTTTTGGAACTTTTAAGCCTCAAACTCTCAGAAACCTTCCAAGGTTTCCTTATAGTGTTTCTACAAACACACATTTACACAATATGCACACTGTTCATTTTTTTATTTTATTTCTTAAAATTCTCCCAACAGCAGTCAATAAATCAAAATAAAAAAAAGAAAACATTGCGGTATCTGTGGCTGTCGCAGGACTGAAATAAACATTGGCCAGCCAACCTTCTGTTCCTGCACTCTCCCCGTGCAATCATTGCACATTCAATTGTTTTGGGGGAGTGGCTTTGCAGAGAGTCCCGAGGGGATGCGTGGGATTTTTCTGAGTTGAACGCTTTCAAAATCTAGCTGTCTCTTGCTGGTTCTCTAACGTTGCCTAGCCCAAGATTAAGTAAGAAATGTGATAAGTGGGGCTTTTGTATTCTCATAAGTAAAGGATTTCCAGATTTTCACTTTGAGCAGTTAAACAAATATGTTCTGCGTGTGCATGATCATTTTAACGTGAACGTATCTCTTGTAAAACAATACTTTCAGGACAAGTGTTAACTTAGAAGCAGAGTCAACACGGCAGCCAGCGGCAAAGAGGAGTGAAATCACAAACTGAAGTGCAACAGAGTGAGAAAGTATAAAAAAAACCCACTTCCCTTTTTGTCTGAAGTGACTAAATACAGAGTGGTCACAGAGGAACTATGTGGAAACCTGCACATCTGTGGTTATCACCCATATCAAGTCATTCAAGTTCCATTTTAATATAAGATTTTAACAAATATTCTAAACATTATTTTATACAGTTTAAATAGTTTAAATGTTTGCGTGTATGATCACTTTACTTCTTTTCAATGATCTTTAAGGGTAATTGAACGTTAATGTAACATGTAGTGTAAACGCTGACAAACCTGCGGGGTGGTGGTTTCTGTTCCTGCAGGTTCAGCCTCTCTGCTTCATATATCTCTCTCTTGCCGGCCTTGTGCAGGAACATGGAGGGAAAATAACCAGTCTCATCTCCTTTCCTGTAAAAGACCAGCATTTACAAGTAAAATAAGTAAACAGACTACTAACCACTAAGTACAACTTTAATATACATTTTAGAAGATATTACTATTGGAATAACATGTGGCTGTACAGATGGCAGTGCAAGGCTGCTGGTCACGCAGCCGCTTTAATGTGTTTGTGTGTAGATCATACCTGACGACCCACCAGCCATCCAGCAGCTTGTGAATGACCTCGATGGTTTCACCGAGGTCCAGAGAGATCTCGTCCTCCTGCTCCGCCTTGTACGCTTTGATGGTGACGTGCAGCTCTCCTGCAGGGAAACACAACGCTGTTAAAAAGACACACGGGGGAAGACTGAAAATGCATTTAACTAAGAAAACGATGTAAACAGCTTGCCTTCGTAGTTTGGTTCATCCTCCTCTGCCTCCTCTGGTCCGTCCAAAGGCTCCAAATAGGATGCAGGAACCCAGCCATGTTTATTCTCATACTGGCAGAACCACCAACCTGAGCACAACGGCAGGACCACAGCAGCTCAAAACCTTAACTCAGTTATTAAAGATTTTAAGAATATCGCATGTATCTATACATGTTTCTCATGATGTTAAAGGAGACCTCCACATTTTATGACTTATCTTCAATGTTACAATGTTGGATGTTCATGTTAAAGGCTGCCATACAGGCATCACAGAACTATGATATAGGACTGTAAAAGCAGAATAATAGATCTCCTTTAAGCTGAGCATTAACCCACACTTACTGACAGCGACAGTAGAATAGAGTAAAATGGATTGACTGCATTTGCATGGCACAACCCTGTGAATACTGGACACCAGATAAGCTCAAAACTACAAGAAAGAACTTTTGTTTTTTGTTTTTTTAAAGAATGAACACGGATATTCAAGTAAAACAATCTAATAGTTTAGTATTAACTGGGAATTACTTTAAAGCCCCTGAAAACTTCAAAATAAAATGTTTTCTATAAAATTAAATATTATTATATAATCATCAATCCAAGTTAAAGTGGGTACAAAAACCTTAACTCTAACTTCATTATTATGTTTATATTATTATAATTGTTAGGCGTTAAGCGTTTTTCTCTTCTCACCGTTCTGACTTTTCTCTACAATTTCCACCAGGTCTCCGATGTGCAGATTGATCTCATGTTTGGATGTCTTGGTGAAGTCTGCGACCACTCTGTAAGTGTCCAGTATGATGGGTCCAGAGATCTCTGAGAGGTAAAACACAACATTCTCTTTAAATTTCAGGAAACACCTGCATGTAAAGGGGGCCCTGGGGGTTACAACTTAAGTTATTAGCTTGCTGGAGAAATTTACTTGTCTTAGAAATTATTAAATATATTTATACATAAACATGTATATCAGAATAATCCAGCAAACAAATTAAGAAAAGACCTTTAGAATCCATCCAGATTTATTCTTTTCAGTCTTAGTTATTAGTAATAATTTTGGCTATTTCAAAAGTTTGTTAAACAATCAGAGCTGTAATTAATGTGAATTTGGTTAAGCAGTTTAAAATCGCTCTTACCAGATGCGTTGCCTCTGGCCAACTCCCTGGACTCCACAAATGTCTCATTTTTTTTCAATCTGAAGAGGAATATTATTATATTTTTCTGTTTGTATTACAAATTAGAAGTGATGCATCTTCCACGTCATTCCCACTATCAAATACATCAGCTATAAAGGAAGCAGTGTGTGATATACTGACGTGTTTGGGGCAGGTGGATTTTCGTCCTCACGCCGGACCTTGAAGAAGTTGGTGAGGTGTTTGCAGCGGGAGATGTGAGGCGGCAGGTTGATGAGAGAGTGGCAGTACTCCGCCAAAGTGCTCTGCCTGGTTTCTGTCGACTTCTGGCTGTCCACCCACCGCGGCGCTGAGGACACACAAACACGACCACATCAGCTGGACAGCAGAGCAGTGGAGACCAGGTAAACAAAAGTACCCAGTAACTTCTATGTGGGTTTCCCGGTGATGGCATTTTGATATTGTGGGCAAAAAGTATGCCTATGTCTTATGTCTTGTATTTGTTCGTACAGTTAAAAGAACATTAAAGGCATATCGTACAACAACAGCGCATCATTTGATATACAAATAAAAATACAAATTCAGTCAACCACAGAGCCCAGGATTTGTTCTGTCGATTTAATCATTTGTGTGCACAAATTAGTAATACTGCTAATTTTAATATCATATTTAACATATAATATTAGGTCCTCTCCTCTTGTAGAGGGCAGAAAACACCCTTTAGTCAGCCGGTAGTTTGAAGAAGACGATGAAGAAGACATTCACGTTGGGAATGTTGAAATGTTCTGTTTATGTTTTTATGAACAGACTTTTTTTTTACAGTAAAACAGTCCTTTATCCTGTAAAATGCATCCAAGGCATCTCAAAGATGACACAACATTATATTACACAACAGCCAGAACCTTGAGTATACCAACCTACCACAGTCCAAGATTAATGTAAAATCATTAAATTAACACAAAGACAAGATCAGCAGATGGGCAGATGAATTGGTTCCTGTAGTATTTTGTTATTGATGACAATACAATATTGATATATGAATATAATAGTTAAATATGTTCAAAAACTGTTTGGTAAATGTGCAAAGCTCTGGTCAGAATTAATAATTAATAATTGCATCCACTAATTTGCTCCTTTGTTTTGCATTTTAGTTGTTAAAAATTAAACAGAATTACCAATGCATCGATTTGCAGAGTGTTAATATGATTACTTCTTGTACATAAGGTACAATGAGATTTCTGGCTTTTTAAAATCTCTTATCCAGCTTGCATGAGCTTCCCCCACTTTGCGTACGTGACTTTCAAGAGGTGTCCATTTCCAGACATCTGTAGGTAGGCTGCTGTTGCATCAGGATTGTGGTTTTATCTTTGCTTCTCTTTCTCTACTTTGCCAAAAACAGTTTTGCAATTAAGGTTTCACAAAGGGAAACCACATGTTTGCAGTTATTCTGTTTCCTGAGTTCTGTTTTCATGAATGTCTGCACAGGAACAAAGAGTGATCTGGTGAAAACACAGACCTGCTCAGTGTTAGTGTTTCTTTTCAGACACCTGGCTGTAATTAAAAAGTTAAAGCAAGAAATAAGCATAAACACTGGAAGCAAAGGGAAACACCTACTCTGGCTCTGTCCGAAATTCAAATATCCAATAGCTAGATATGTCCGGTGAGCACAGGTTTTGGTCTTTGTACATATGTGCCAAACCTGGCAACCTCGTTCTTGACAGGTGGCCGCAGCGTATGTGGGCTGCAGTAAGAAAATGTTCAAGCATGTAACATTGATTTCAGTGCAGAGACAGGCCTACCTGTTAATCAGGAAGCTTTAGAGTTGATGAGAGGTGAACTTTTGTACTTAGCCAGGCTTCCTGCTTCCCCCTGCTTCCAGACTTTATGCTAAGCTAGGCTAACTACGTCCTGACTCAAGGTCTGTACATAACGCACAGGCACGAGAGCGATATTTATCATCTCAGAAAGAAAGCGAATAGGATTGTTTTCCAGAATTTTAACTTTTCATTTAACAACTTTTGGACAGATTTTTCTGAAATTTGTACTGTTAAGACACTAATATGCTAAATGAACATAACGCTAGATGTTAGCATTATTACAAACTAACTTTGTTTGCTAAATGTCACTATAAAAATATCCAGAGGCTGTTAACTTGCATGGACTGTATAAGCTAACTGGACGAATGTCCACATTCGCACATAAAAGTTTGCCTTGACTCGCCTTTTTTTGGTTTTTCCACGGTGGAAAAGTTGTACTTGGACCTACTATAAGGTACAGCTGTAAGGTTTTCATACCGCTTATCTGTCTTTACATTCTGAGGAAGGTTGAAATGTTTTAACTTAAAAAAGAGAAAGCTGTGTGGTTTGCTGGTTTGTGTGTGTGGCGTCGTTATGATGACCAGCTCCATTGAGGGTTAGTATCTCTGGGTACTATCTGCAATGGAAAACCGAGCAGGGCCAAACCGAGTTGAGTAGAGTCGAGTTGAGCCTGTACTAGTAATGGAAAAACGGCATAACACATGCTGCATTTGAGAAACCGGTCACTGTTTGACCTTTAGTTTAGCGCCACCCACAGGACAAACGTTACATTTTTAGCTTAACTGGTAAGGGTGTAAGAACAGATAAATATTCAGTGTGTTTCTAATCAGTGTAATAGATTGTTTTAAGGGATACTAGCAGAGAGTGACCTTTATTTTTTGTCTTTTTGTAGTCGCACCTTTCGCGGTTTCCTTATTCTTCTTTGCTAATTCAAGTCTTGTGTGGTTGTAAATTCAGCTTTAACCGCTCCTGACAACTGAAAAAAAATAAAGCCCTCAGGAAATTTTGACATTGTGATTTCAGCCTTGTTGCATTTTGCTCACTTGCTTAAAAAAAAACATAAAAACGAGAAGTGGATTCACCCGCATGTGTTTAACAACCACAGGTGCTTCCTAAAAAAAACATTACAGCATGTGGGAGGTTTTTAAATGAAAAGATGAGGAAGGTCAATCTTGCATTTATCTTTAAAATGTTTAATACTGGTCACGGTGTAATATTCGGTATGAACTCTCCACTCTGCAGCAGTAACTAACTAACTAAGCAGAATGACATCCTATAAAAAACAAAATGCTGAAATAAGAGTTGATGTGAGGAAAACAAGCGGTGACAAAATGTGACACCAACTGCGTCTTTTACGGTGATTTTTACCTGGTAACGAAGGAATGATTCTGTCCTTCTTATCTATTTCACCAGACTCGATGGGAAACATCTCCTTCAGCGATTTCTGTCACCAAAACATAAAACATTTTTGAGCGCGATCATCCAAGCACTACATTTTATTTGGTTTTGACTTCATTTGTAGCTGATTATGAATCAGGTCAGACTGATGTTGTTTCCACCTGGTGAGCACAGCTTTTTATTTTGTAGTGCGGAGGAACTCACATGGAGGGTGTGGATCTCAGGATACGTCCTGTAGATCAGCTTCTCAGAGAGGTCGCTCCATTTCACCATCAGCATGTACACCTGCACATACAGATCAGCACAACAAACCATTATATTGCACTTAAACACAAAAGGAGATCTAATGTTTTCAAAGACTAGATTCTTGAGTTAAGCTTCTCATAGTTTAGATTCTGAACTTTTGACCCTGTACTATTGGTTATTTAAAAAAATAATTCTCTAAAGTTTGACACCCATTTAGCAGAATTTGCGTCGGTAGAGTAAATATTTAGAGCCTTACGTAGTGCTGACTCGGATAGAGACGTTTCTCGAAGCCCAACAGCTCCACATGCCTGACGTAGTTCCCGTCCATGCTGAGACAGAGTCAGACTGAGCTAAAAAGGTAGCAGACATGAAGCTTATATATATAGTGTGTGTGTGTGTGCAATATGTCATCAACGTACCACAAGAGTTAGTTCCTCTTTACTGTCTTTGAAAATAATGAAACGAAGGAAATAGTGTTTCTTTCACTCCTCAAACTGCTGGAACTCTAATAATGCTGTTAACGTATGAATAATAATGATACTGATGTTGAATAATAAAAGCAGTAGTTGTCTGCATCAGAGTAGTAGCAGCAGCCAACGTTGAGTAAAAAGCACAATATTTTAGTAGAACTATAAAGTAGCTTAAAATAGAAACACTGGAGTAATGTTTAAACTAATGGTTATTTTCATTATGGATTAATCTCTCTGTTATTTTCTTGACTAATTAAAAATAAGAGAGGAATAATGAATGGTACGATCACAGCGCATGTCATTGTAAATACTTGTTTTGTTTCTTATTTGCTTCAAGTGAAGCCTGCATTATGTTTCGGTGCAACTTTCAGTTGTCAAACAGCAGCACTGGGTTTGGAAATGGAGAAGCCACTGTTCTCGCAATGTGCCATCAGCATCACGCTGCAAGAGCATCACTTGCTCCACTTAGGTCCAGAATGAAATATCTTTGGATGGATTGTTAGAATAAGTTTAACAATCCCACCAATATTCTAATAATTAGGGAAAAATTAAAAAATTTGAAAAAAATTACAGAATACAGAATACCAAACAAGTACATTCACATTTTGTCCATTTATTTTTTTTTAACCACTGCATAAATTAAATAGTCAAAATGAGCTTTTTCCTCAGTGTTTCCCACAGGATGTGGAGAGACTATGGAGGGTGGGTCCAGGGCCGAGAGGGTCTGGTAAAGTAAATTACATGTGTCCATTTACTTTTAATGGACACATGTAATATGTTTTATACTTTCTAGTGCTGGGCAACGATTACATTTTTTATCGCGATCAATTGCATTGTTAAACGCAAAACTGAGTAATGAATTCTAAAATAGTGCATTGCACACTTTTAATTTAAATGTACTGCTAAATACACAAAAGTGTCACGGTAGTGGTCGCCTCATGCACACGCCCGCTACCAAAGTTGGATTGTCTTGAACGTTTTGTACGCGGCGTGCAGCACAAATGATTGGAAGAGAGACTGATCCTCGCTGTTTGTGAGTTTCCAGAATCTCTTTCTGTTTTACTAAATAGGACATCAACAGGGGGGAATTCACACGGCAGAGCGTCCCCGCAAAACTAGATGAAGGCCTGTCAGGTCAAGTTATGTAGCCTATAGTTTAAACTTAAGTTAAATAGGCTACAGCTGTGTAGCGCACAGAAGCTGTTCTATCCATAGAGCGTCTGCTGTTTACTTGCAGAGCGCTTGTCTTACTTCGCCCACACGCTGCATCCAGCGAAGCCTCCGTCCGCTGCTTGTTTGGGCGGCTGATTTGCAGGCTGATCGACATCCCGCCCCTCTTGTGACCCACTGACTTGACTGTATGTGTATTCTAATAATAATAATACTTTGCTTAATGCTTTTTTAAATCGACTGTTCATTTGTCGATTATTACTTTTACATAAGTAACTGATCTGAGTACTTCTTGCAACACTGGTAAACCTCCCAGTACTCCCTTGTAAGGGGCAGCATCAGCACTATTAGTTGTAGAACAACCATTAGTTTTATCTTTAACTGACTCAGAGGCAGTAAATGGTCAAATTTGAAGAAATCTCGCAAGTTAAGAATTCCCCTCCAAACTTTCTCAATAGTCCAGAAGGGGAATCACTGTGTTGATTTCATCCTGCATGAACACACTGACTCCGTCCTTCCATACAAAAAAATCCATCTCATATTTATTATTCTTTGGTCACTCGTGTGGGCTTTCAGAGGGGCTTTCAGCTAAATTTGTGATTTCCAAACCTTTTGCAACAGACAAAGAGGAACAAAAACAGTGTAAAAAGACACAAACAAACCCACATGGCATGAACTTCCTCCATTGTAGCCACCAAGTAAAACACCAGTGACCTAAGTTTGAATTTAGATTTATTTTTGGTCAAAGTGGCAATTAGGGAGATTTTAATTGCACAAAGAGACCAAATCAGTTGCGGTGTGTCATATTCTTCAGTGAGCGTGTTTATATTTATAGAAAGAAGATGATTTCTTTCCCACAAGACATCCAGAGTCTTATTACTGAGTCACAGAGGAATCAACTGAATGACTCAGATCGTATTACTTCATCCAAACACACGTGCATTACCATGTTGGGTTTTATTTTACTGGACCATAAATTCCTGCTAATTAAGTTTCCTAGAAAGACATATGTAATGTATTGTATTTATAGATAAAGTACCCATCACTTAAGCAAAAATACCAATATCACAATGCAGAAATTTTCAATTAGTGAGCTGGTCATCTCTGATAAATAGCCTACTGTTTGTGTGTCGGGTGTAACTAAGTGAGGTAAATAACAGCTATTATGATTTATTGCATGATTTTCCCAGCACTAAAAAGAACAAATCCTAATACTCAGTTCAGACACTGTGGAGTTATCAGTGTCACGAAGTAAAGAAAACTGTCTTGCCTCTAAATTTGAAGGGTTAGGTTTAAAGCAGTATTAGTATACAGTAGGCATGCTTGTGATTTCAATATATTGAACCAGGGAAACACACATAGCGATAAAACATTGCTGAGAACATAAAACCCTTTCAAAAGGTTTCCTTCCTTCTAACATTACAGTCTGTGGATGGATGAGACATTACATCATTTATCTGAAACCCTTTAGAAATAAGAGTTACGGTTTAATAATAAGCCACAAAAACACACAGGCAAGTATTCAGTTAGCTACCAAATTATCGAGTATAAATACCACAGTAAAACCTTTTTATATACAGTCTATGTGTAAAACTACATGTACATACGTCATCAGAATCCCCCTATGGAAGTTTCCGTAGTGTAGTGGTTATCACGTTCGCCTAACACGCGAAAGGTCCCCGGTTCGAGACCGGGCGGAAACATTGTTTACTTTTCGTTTCCAATCATAGCTAACACTTTACAGACCCCGTCAAATAAGCAAATTACACTTACTCTGTCATTTACATATATTTTCCTGACTGTTTTGGGTAGACCAGGACAGAGATTTATAAATTATCTGAAAGCGATTCACAAAGAAATCAAATAATTTGTTCGTAATCTGTAAAAGCGGGAATTCCCCATGCGTCCCTGAACGCGACATTTAGTTGGAGTCTACGGTCATGTTGCCTGCAGCGCTTCTTCACGAGCTGGGCTCTCAAGAACTTCATGACTACGACGATTGATTCAGCCTCTCCGTGCTCCTTCAGACATCCTAACTTTAACTCTCTTTTGAGAGGCTAATCTTTGCATTGTGGTGTTTTTGTAGCGTCCCAAAACGAGGTCAGGATGTTCGCTCGCAGACCGTTAAGCTGTTTCACACACTGATATCATAATAAGCTGAGTATTTTGTATCAAAAGAGATGTTGAGTTTGCATGTCGCCGTCATTTTGAAGCATAGAAATGAAGCATATAGAAGAGCAGACTTTTTACATCAGGGGCCCATAAACTGACACAAATTAGACCGTGGACGCGCATTTGATAGGAGTTTGGCTTTTAGATGTTTTATTAAAGAAAGGGTATGAAAACAATAACCAAAGTAGTTTTACCAGTATTGCGATTAATTTTTAAGCTCTTTACCTTCTGTATTATTCAGATTATTTTATTATTCAAAACGGACAAGCAGTAAATCAGTGTATAGTGTGACCAGCACAATATTAGATAGATTAAACATACGTACTTGTGGATCAGGCCTGTATTATGATGAAATTAGGGGATGCATGAATTATTATTATGAGCAATGCTGGAGGAAAAAATATCAAATTATAATAATATGAGAAAGATCATTTGAGAGTGAAGTCATGGCATTAAACAATATAAAATCATCAGGTCAGCCTACCTACAGACGACAAGAAAGTTCACCACTGTGTGTTATACAGTAAGAGCTCCAAACCCACAGTTCAACCACCGATTTATGAGACCTTATCTCAGTTAAAATCTCCACAAGAGTCCATCTCTCATCACAAACCTCAAAAAATAGAAAAGAGGGGTTACCTCACAGCAGAGAGGGGAAGGGGGGAGGGGGACTGACTAATGCCATATTGCAATAGAGCCGTCTTCTTCTTAAACCGTGAAAAACATTATAAAAAATTAGCTTGTTTGGCTCTAGCTGATAATCAACCTTTTCCCCCATATTTGAGTCATTCAAATTTTTGTGCCTGACAAACTACTTTCTTTACATTTATTGTTACGATTGTTTTTTGTATTTTTAGGTTTATAAACGCTGCCTCTCGGTTAAGTAACTTAATAAATAAGTCAAACTTCATGTTCTGTCTCAACTCACGGACTGAGAAGACGTCGCAGTGATGCAGTACCAGTATGTGGGTTTCCTCTGCAAAGTCGATCCGGTTCTTGAGATATTGTTCAACGAGACGCCGCGTTCGATGACTCAACAGCTTCTGTCAGCTTTGGGGTTCGATGACTACGTCTGGCATTTCTGATCTTCGACCCTGCATCCACCATGGGGTCAGGTATCAGAAAGGCTGAGCCCTGCTCCTGGAGCCGGTTGAAATCGGTTTGGAGTTCAATGTGGAAATGGAAAGGAAGGAAAAGTTAGATGCTGTGATGCTGGAGATTTATAACTTTGCTGAAGTGAGCTTTGATCTCAACGTGGACATTTGAATATGGGCGAGGGGTTGAGAGTGGCAGGGTTGTGACTGTCTAACTCTGCCACAGCTGCTGTGTCTCCAAAACCTTCTCGAAGCTGGTTAGTTTTTCAGTTTGGCCAGATGCTTTACATATCTGAAGATGTGTTTGCATGTGTCAGGATGACGTAGGGTCGGCGCTCTCCCTCTGGACCATGGCAGCACAGTCTGCATTTACCTGCTTCAAGAGATCTTTAGCGCCGTGGTGTTTATTCAGAAGCTCGACGACGGCAGAGGAATCATACTGTGATAAATATACGTGAAAAATACAACACAGATTAATAATGAATGATTGGAGAATTGTACATGTGGCACGTGTGAAGAGTACAACAAATAACAACAGTTAAAAAAGTGTCCAAGCTAGATTTTAACTGTGAGGGATGTTAGGTCAAAGGCAGAGACGCTGGGAACAAGGGCTGCTGGGAAAGACCTTAAAGACAGCGGTCTAGAACTGCTCTTTATGAAAAGTGCAGTGAGATAACTTTTGTTATGAATTGGAGCTATATGTCTGTGAAGATTCTCATAGTCAGGTCATAGTTATCCAATGAAGGTTAAAGTCCAGTTGCCCTTGACTTTAACCTTCATTGGATAATTGGCGCTATATAAATAAAACAGAATTGAAATTTGGACTGAGAAACCGCTTCAGAGCGCTGCTTCAACTGGGTCGTCCTGGACAGGACCACTGGTCTCCTGAAATATAGCATCAAATATAAAGAGTTGGTCAGTAATTGGCAGTGAGTGATTAATCTGGATTCCCTGAGACAGCAGAGCTGCAGGACTGCTGCTGTGTCCACGTGGCTGCAGCAGCTGAGATGTTGCACTTTGTCTTGTTCTTGTCTCCGTTTAAAACAACAGGCTCCACATACTGCAGTCCAAATCTCTCACCTGTGTCCCTGTTTGAAACCCGCAGGCTCGAACACAGCTGGCAGCTCTACACAAGGCTGCTTCAGGTCCACGAGCCTCAGGGCCTGGAAAAGTCCACTGGACACCCGGTTGCCTGTCGCCCACTGGTCTTGGTGAAAGTGAAAGCCCTCCTGCTGAGAGGGGCCCCTCACAGGGATCCAAATATGTACAGCGGCTCCTTTGCCCTTTGTGTAGTTGCGCTCCAAGGTTCCTCCACACCTTGAACATGGAGGCCTTGAAGAGGATCCAGGTGGAAGTGATGTAGGACGTCTTCAGATCTCTGGGCTGTGGCACCTTTGTCCTACAGTGCCGTCTTATGTGCTGCTTGGTGGGATTAGCAGAGGAGGTGGGATGAAAACAATCGCAGAACAGTAAAATAAAATAGTTAAATGATTTGGCTATGAACAGATCATTAAATGTACATTGTTTTCTTTTGTATGAAGCCTACTGTTGGAGGTATAATTTATTTCTGAAGACTTACAGAATAAAGTGTGGAAACTTTATATTACTTTTGTATGGTGCCACACTGTTGTGTTGTGATTGGTTGGTCTTTTTATCTTTTAAATTAAACATTTAAACACAGGAAGAAACTGAAATGTTAGTAATTAAGGTAGATATAAATAGTGAAGACAGGAAATATAAAAGTAATGTAATGAACGTCAGTGCCCCACTCAAAAAACGCCGCAGATCTAACAACACGTCATCTGTCTTTATTATCTCGTGTCCACAAAATAACGCAATGCATATATATATTAAATAAATCATAATTAAATTAATTATAAATTTATAATGACTAAATGACACTGTTTGATTTTAGATAGGCGGCTTGGATAGAAAAGTCATATAATACCAGATACCAGATATCTATACGGTTACGTTACATGTGATGAACATGTCAGTTTCCGTAGTGTAGTGGTTATCACGTTCGCCTCACACGCGAAAGGTCCCCGGTTCGAAACCGGGCGGAAACATTGTTTTTAATTTTTTGTAACTTTAATTCTACTTTATCTGCCGGGTGACGTTTCGTCAGACTTGTGATTTCCAAGGTTCATTTATTTAATTAGAAATACAAACACTTGTTCCCATTTGTTCACAAGGGTCAGTGAACACCAACACCGCCCAGAAATGATCACTTTCTGTCAACATGGTGGCACGTTTAGGTCAACATACTGTTTTTAAGACTGTTAAAATTGTGGAATTGTACGACGAGTGTTTATGAAAAGTATGTTTTTGAAAGTGACACATACTAACAGTCCATCAATAACACATTCACGCCATATAGACGCTTTTCATGTGGGAATACTGAGACTGAACTTTGTTCACGCGTGTTCACTTTTCTGTCTTATTAAACTCTGCACAGTTACGAAGTTTCCGTAGTGTAGTGGTTATCACGTTCGCCTAACACGCGAAAGGTCCCCGGTTCGAGACCGGGCGGAAACACTTTTTCTATTTATTTGTGTTACGATGTCACGTTTCATCACGAATAAAATGAGCGAACCGAACTTTACAGATCATTTACATGTACTTTTTTGGGTGGTAACCGCCGTGCCCGTTATTGGTAGTCTGTAAAAGCGGGATTTCCGATGCGTCCCCGAACGCGGCATCAAGTGGGAGTTCACACGTGTGTTGCTGATGTTTGGCTGCATGTAGCGGCGCTGCAGCACTTCATCACGAACTGTGCTTTCCAAAACTTCATGACTACTTACTTCACCAACCTCTTAAACAACTGGGGTGGCCGGTTTCTGTCCCGGTCTTTTGGTAAGTGCTCGTATTTGGCCTCTCTGTGCTAAATGCTTCTGTCCGTTAGCTTTCCTTTGAGAGGCTAGCGTTAGCATCAACGCCGATTTTGGTGTTTTTGGAGCTTCGTTAACAGGCCAGGATGTTCGCTGTAAGCAGACAACACTATCACGAACTGTTAGGCTGTTTCACGCACTATCCCGCAAGTATCATAAATTAATTATGGGCGTATTTAGGAGTTTAAAAGAGAAGTTGTGTTTGCGTGTCGCCGCCATTTTGGTGTAGAACGGGAGCATATAGAAGAGCACTTCAGGTGCCTTTGGTAAAAACGATATCTGGACTTTGAGAAGCTCTTTTTACTCGGAAATAAAGTACTTTTTTAAAACTTTGTTTACAATTTCTTAAAGTTTCAACAGTGTAACACAATGCCAGGATGAGATAGAAGAACATGTATACGTAACAAACTAAAAGTATAAATAAATTGATAACTACATTAAATAATTCATGTGAGTATCAGTAAACAAAGGAGCAGAGAAGATTTGCAATTTGCTTGACCTTGATTGAGATCAGTGATATATTATTACATTATTATTAGATTGATTGGCGCATCGCAATTCTGAGATCATAATCTTGTTAATTCAGAACAAACAGAGCATTTTTCTCTCTCAAGTAAATCTGTTACGCTTCTGTAATAATTTGGTGGAGTGAAAAACATTATCTCACCCTGAAATGTAGTTTCAGGACGTATAAAGTAGCATGAAATGAAAATTCTCAAGTAAAGTAACTTCCTCAAAGTTGTACATTACTTGAGTTTTCTGCTCCACAGTGATTAATCTTGCCTCGTTTTACTACTTTGCCATCAATTGACTTATCTTTAAAGCCATTTTATCAGTGTTTTTGGCCCCACTGAATTAAAGCAGGACATGTCACAGAACACATGTGCTTCATCCTGACTGGCTGGAGACCAGATACACAATATTTTCCGTCAACTTTCAGACGAGTTTAGGCCTTCTTCTAAGTAATGCTCATTAATCCCTTACCTGAGATCCCACAAGCTTTCACTGCTCAGTCGATAGATACCATTGGCTGTACTTGACTGACATCTAGTGGAGGACCGTCTTGTTCTAACATTTACACTTAAACTGACAGAGTTGTGTTAGGTTTTAGATTTCTATCAGGTTTTTTATTTTTTTAAACACATGACTGTACAAAAGAGTATCAAACCTCCAGTATGTTTTTAGTAGTGACCACAGTGTGCCTGTAGCAGTAGTGCACTGTGGGTACTAAATGTTAGTATCAAATGCCTGAGCAGATTTGTAGTCTTGTTTACTTATTGTTTAATCAAATATTCCCTGATTTCAATCATAAATGCAATAACGATTTAACTTTTATAAGTTTGCATGTTTTTTTTTTTTTACAGAATGTTTATGTTGCTCAAAGTAAGGTAAGAAAATATTGTTAAAGAAGGTATTGACACCAAAACTCAGGTGCTATATTGACGGTAACGGCTAAAAGTTTTAATTATACCCACCTCGAAGGGTTTATGGTAATAATAATAAATAATAATAATAGTAATATAGGATAATAGTCTCTGTAGCAAACACACAAATTTTCATTATAATTTATTGTTCATATTATTTTTATGAATTCTTTAGTCTAGAAAATACCAGAACATTTTGAAAAAAACAGCAGTCGCAAAGCCAAATATATCAAAGCCACACTGCAAAAACTGAGCTCTCAAAACCAAGGGAAAAAAGCAATAAAAGGGGGGAAATATTACTTATAATAAACAAAATTATCTGTCAACAGAACAAGAATATTTCACTTATGGACAAAAAAAACTTGAAACAAGTGAAATTATCTAACATAAAAGCCGCCTGGTAAGAAGAAATATCTTGTCAGACAAAAAACAAGCATATTTTGCCTTCAGTTAAGATAATTATTCTTACTTAGATTTTAGTTTTTGCAGTGCAGGGTTGCACCAAAATGAAAATTCTTGGCCGAAACTGAATGGAAAAAAATTTGCCGAATACCAAACAAGTACATTCACATTTATGTTGCCTTTTTTTTTTTTTTACAACTGCATAAATTTGATAGTCAAAATGTGCTTTTTCCTCAGTGTTTCCCACAGGATGTGGAGAGACTATGGTGGGCGTTGTAATATCTTTTATATTTTCTGTGAATATAATCAAATTAATCTTAATTCCATTCTGTATAGACGCCTTATTTTGAAAACCGGACGCTGTCACGTGTTTCCTCCTCGTGCTAAATTCTTCAAATCCGACCCAGTTTGATAAATAATGTTGTATGTGGTTCTCGTTCGGCGTAACATGAAGAGTTCAAAGCCTGTCTTGAGGTCAGACTCTCATACTGCAACAAACTGTCTCTAACCTGCCTGTCAGCTCGCTCTGGGCTGTTTCAGTGGATTAACCGTAAAGGCTTGAATACGTGTGCACTCCATATTTAGGTGCGGCGATCTTAATCGCCTTCTCACAGACGAGTGACAGAAACACTCAAAGTGGTTAGATTCTAAGAAGTCAGCCACAGATGGAGCGGATGTGATGGGAGACAATTCAGCAGAACAGCGTCTGTAAGCAGCGACACTTTAAAATGCTTCCATGCTGCCGACATGTCAACAGAAATGTTTGGTAAAATTTCCTCGGCCTTCTGACTTATTAGGCAAACACAAATTGCTTTTTTTGCTATTTTCAGCGGATTAATTTGGTGGCTGAACATTCGGTGCATCCCTAAATCAAAGCTACAGTTGTATTGACAGCAAGAAATCCTCACATTTGAGAAGCTGGAACTGACGAATTAATGACAGTTTTCCTAAATAACTTCAATAGATTTTGTTCACTGTTCCGTTTGTAAGGTTTGATAGCATCCAATGCAAACATGGTGTGAGGTAATTTTACTCTATTTCAGTGACATTTCTATTTAATATTATGATATTTGTTTGTACAATAATTGTTGCGTGAAAATTTGACAAGGTGAATCCCTGCTGCTCTGTTAACTAACTCAAACTCCATGTCCTGTCTTTACTCACAGGACGAGAAGATGTCACAGTAAGGCCAAAACTACTTTCTTCAGTTACTCTAAAAGACTGTATCTTGGTTTCCTCTGCAAAGAAGTCGACTGGGAGTCTTTTTAGATCCAGTTCCTGAGATATTGTTCAGGACACAAAGAGAGGGTTTGTTCTGAGGACTCTCAAATGCTTCTGTCAAGTCTGGGGTTTGAAGGGCAACATGGATGGTATTGATGACTACATCTGGCAGCGCCGCATCCACCATGGGGTTAGGTATCAGAAATGTGAAGTTCCATTTCCAAAGTCGGTTGAAATCGGTTTGGAGTTCAACGCGGCATTGGAAAGGAAGGACAAGTTAGATCTGTGCTTGCTGACCAATGCTGTGATGCTGGAGCTTTGTGACTTTGCCAAAACGGTGACAAAGTCTGAGACATATTTCTTGTTTGAAATGCTAGAGTTCAACTTTGACCTCGGCGTGGACGTGGATAACGACATGCAGTGCTATGACTATGCAAGGCGCGTTCACAACAAAATAAAGCTGCTGAAGGAACAAATAAAGTTGAAACCTCGTAGATGGAAAGAAACCTTTCCGCTACCAGACCAACAAACTTTAATGGGGTCCACTGGGTCAGAGCTACGTTACTACCCTAAAAGGAATAAAATCGTGGATAGTTCAGTCCTCACTGATGGCAGCAAGTCTTCAGAAAATCAGAAGAGCAAGAGTAATGGAGCTGCGAGCGGTGAATTCATCAGGAAGAAACAAGGAGGAGTCCGATTAAATCCAACAGGTGATGTTTACCCTTTCTGTAAAGAACTTGGTGTGACACTGCTTGTTCGACCAGATGACGCACCCAAAGAGAAACTAGACCCACATCTGGTGACCAACGGTGTGATGATGGAACTGCTTGACTTTTCCAGAGTGCTTTGTGGAACACACACTCAGATAGTTAACGCCTTGGTCAAGCAAAATTTCGGTCATGAGTTGGATAAAATGCAGTTCAGAATGCAAGTAAACAAGCTGATGGAGCGAAAATATGCCTGCATAACAGCCGAGGACAAGGACGCTTTCCGAAAGGAGGCTTTTACAGTCCAGACCAAGAAACGGGGAAAGAATTATAAAAAAAGAAAACACCCTGACGCAGATTACCAAGAACTGGAAAGACTAACGATGGCCAGTAAGAGGAGGGAAACGCTGAGGCAAAGGGAGAGTGATGCGAAAGTAATTTGGCAGGACAGTGACCTCTCGTACATGTGTCCGGTTGATTTTGAGACAGAAATGCAGTCAGCTATGGAGGCAAAACCAGAAAAGGTTGATTTTGAAACTTGTTTGTCAGAAACCGCTGCAGAAACAAAGCCAGCAGTGACTGTAAAGCAGGAAGAGGAGGAAGTTTTTGTCTCCCCAATGCAGTCTCCGACCAATGGCCACGACTCTCATTTGTCTGACCTTCGTCCAAAAAGTGCGGCTCTAAAAGCATACTGGGATCTGTTTTCTGAAGATGAATGTGGGGACATGCGTGTAAAAACATGGAAACAGAAGCTGTGGATGAGACGTACCACTCGCTCAAAACAAATCCTGAAGTCTAGCAGAGTGAACGACATGTTTGCCAGCTGCAGAGCGATAGGTTTAGACTTTAATGTCGGTTCTGGCAACAAACAGAACGTTGATCTACAACTACTCACCAACTGCGTGTTGTGGGAGATTTATAAATTTGCAACTACGATGACAAAGAGCTTACACAGGTTCTTATTTAACATTCTGCACAACAACTTTAACCTTGTCCAAGATGAACTGAATCAGCGCAATTTTATATTTTACATCCAAACAAAAGAGAGGATTCTTCAGAACCACCCCGCTAGACAGAAAATGGAGTTTCTCAGCAGCCCCTTTCGGTTCCCTAAAGCATACAACATGGTTGATGTGACTAGCGCTTGTCAAACTGGACAGGAAGCTGAGACGGAGCAGCAGACGAACTGGGATTCAGCAGACTTGGCCACAAGCCAGCAGGCAGATATGGAGCCATACCCGTTCTGTAAAAACTTAGGTCTCAACCTTTGGTCGAGAGAAGAACGTCCGGCAAGCAAGAAGCTCGATTTGACGCTCCTGACCACGGGCGCCGTGCTGGAAATATTCAGCTTCGTCAGGGAGCTATGCGGTGCGGTCCGCGAGACGGTTAATGACGTCCTTGAGCACAATTTCGATCTTGAGCTGCAAAGTGGTGAGACCAAGGCCGCACAGATGATCCAGAGATGGTACGTGACGCAGAAAAGCTTCATGAAAAGGCACAACACAACACCAAGGATAAATAGGTGGTTAAATACGGTCGTCCCACTTAATGGTCACTCAAAACCCAGTCCGCAACCACAAACTGGCAACGGCCTGGAGGATCTGGATACGGAAGACTTAAAGCGAGGCAGAGAAGTGGAGGCCGTCTATGTAAATGTGCAACGGGTGGAAAGGGTCAACAGCTATAACATCTGCAAAGAAATAGGCTTGGATCTTGATGTCCTGTCTAAATCAGAAGCCAAAACAAAACTGGACTTGAAAGTGCTCACTAGGGGAGTCCTCCTTGAGGTGCACGGGTATCTTGGGAAATACTGCCACAGATACGTCCCCGCTCTGTACGAGATTCTGGAGTACAACTTTGATCTGAGCTCTCAGAGCCATCGCAAGGTGGAGTTTGCCTGGTCCATTGCATCTCAGGTGATAGCCATGGCTGGGAAAAGTGGCAGGAAGGCAGATTATCTGAACAAAGTTTTTGAGTTGCCCTTTGAGATCTCTGAGTCCTCACAGACTGTCTGCAAAGAGGAGCCGGAGGACCGCTTCGCTGAGCTGGACCTCAACGATAACTCAGACATCTTGTTTGTCCGAGAACTGAAGCCTGTTGACATAGAGGTTGAGATTGATTAGAAGTAGAAAGTCAATGTACAGATTAGGGCTGCAACGACGGATCATAGTCGTCATGATTTTAGCAAATAATTAATGAATCATTTGGTGTGTAAAATGTCAGAAATTAGGGGGTAAATCGCATATTTCCACACTCCCAACTTCCTAAAACCCAAGCTGATGTCTTCAAATCACCTGTTTTGTCCAATCAGCAGTAGAGCTGCAACGATAAGTCGGTCGAAAGAATATTAATCAACAACAATTCTGATAATGGATTAATCGTTTCAGTCATTTTTAAAGCAAAAATGTGAAGAATTAGCTGGTTTCATCTTGTTAAATTGAAGAATTGCTGCTATTGTTTGTCATTTATGAAAGTAAATTAAGAGTCTTTGGGGTTTTGGACTGTTGGTTGGACCAAAGAAGCAATTTGAAGACATGACTTTGAGCTCTGGGAAATTTTTATGAGCATTTTTCACAATTTTCACAAAATCGTTAGTTGCAGCCCTATCCAGCAGTCTAAAACCTAAAGATATTCGATTTACTATCTATCAAGCAGCAAATATTGACATTTGAGTGTGTATCTTTGCTTGATAATGACTTTAACCATTAGGCCAGAATAAGGTCAGAATAATTCCTGTTCAGTTGTGTTTAGTTTACACCTATTTAAAACGTTTTGTAACCTTCATAAGATGAAGATTTAAAGAGACATTTTTCTTAAATTCTTTACATTAATGGTGAATATTATGGTCATTGTCCACTGGATCTGGCTCTTAAGTTTTATTTGAGTTTGCAAATAACATAACTATTCATCACAGCTTACATCTGTGATAAACATCAGATCTGGAATAAACACATCTGGTCACTCTGCTGAGTTTCAGGCTGTTAAATCACTTTCTCTCTGTGATCACACGCTGAATTCACAATACAGTTGCTCTCATTTACATATCTTCTGTTTCTGGAGCCAGTTAAAAAAAAAAGAAGTAATTTAATTTCCTTTTCTAAATACTATACCTTTTTTACCAGGCAAGCATTTGGTTTTATGATCAGGAGTCAAAGCGTGACCAAAAAGGCTGTGGTATGTGAGTTGCTGTATTTACATTTAAAATGAGTTATTTCTCAATTAACAAATCAACCAAATGTCAGAAGGTAGTGAAAAATACCTGTGATCATTTCCTACATGGTGACATAAATTGCGTTATTCGAATTGCGTTATTCGAACAACTCTCTAAAATGCAAAGATATTCAGTTTACAGTGACGTAAAACAGAAAACCATCAAATCCACCAGCAAATGTCTGGATTTTTTGTTTGATAAATGACTTTAGCTACTATCAAAAGAATTTTAAGGTTAATTTGTCTGTCTAACTAGCTGTAACAGTTGGCAGCAAAAGTTCTCTAGCGTCCATTAATTAGCAAAAAAATCAGTTTTCGATTGGGAACAACTCTGGTCTAGTGTTGGAGGAGGGCTGAAAGCACATGGGGGAAGTTCTGTCAGAAAGCCTTACTACTTGGTTGGGTTTAGGCGCCAAAACGACCTTGTTAGGGTTAGGAAAAAAAGGCAGAAAGCCCTGAAGACAAACATCTACCACAGCTGAAATCAGGCGTTTTATAAATTTCCCTGTGTTAATATGAGTGTACACTGTTCAGGGAATACAGACGGACAGTATGTGGTAGTGCTGTAATTAAACCAAGTAAATGTGCAGCCACAAAGCAGCTGTTACTTTTGAATAAGTGCTTGTAAAAAATTATTAATGAGGCCAAACGGGTTGATTTATTTATTGTTTTTATAAAATGTGTCCCACTTTAAAACCACAACACAACTAGATCTAGTGGACATAAGACGTTAGTCACAAGATCCATCCATCCATCTTCATCCGCTTATCCGGGGTCAGGATGTGGGGTAGTCACAAGATCATTAGCTTTTAAAAACACTTTGGACGGCAGACATAACATCAGTTGGTTAAATTATGTTATTAAAAGTTTCTAAATTGATTCAGCCAAACACATGAAGTGCCTAAAATGACACATCTCACTTTAAGTTTCCCCACGTTGTTTTGATGATATTAGTGTTTTGAGAAGAGGTGAAAGTTCCTGTCATACATAGAATGACGGACATTTTGTGGCTAATAAATTTGTATTTTAAATGCAATCTTAACATGTGGATGAAAACACTTTCCCAGGTGGGATGTATAATTTTTTTGTCTTTTATTCTGTAGGTTGGATTTTTGTCTCTACTACAAATTAAAGTGTCTTTAATCGTCATTTTATGTGTTCAGATTTTTTTTGTATTTTAGTTTGACGTCATAACGTTGCATCTAATGCAATAGAGTACAACTGCAGTACATTTTACTGCACCATATTTATGCAACATCTGTACTTAATAGCTATTTTGCAGATTAATTTGCTTATAAAACATTGTATTTGGAATATTTCAACACAAATGAACTTGTTTGAGGAATAAAAATTGACTTTTTCATAATTCTATTCAACACGTGAATGGAGAGTTCTGGCAAATATTTTTTTCCACTTCAATCCCTGATTACACAGAGTCAAAGACATGAGTGATGGTAGAGAGGTAGTCCAGATAGTCCATTACAAGTACAGGGTGTCCGCGGGGTCTTAAAAAGTCTTAAAAGGTAATAAATCAATTTTGCGAAAATTAAGGCCATTAAAAAGTATTAAAAAGTCTTGATCGCCATTTAACAAGGTATTCAATTTTGACCGTAATCTCCCAAAACATAGTAGGAGTGGCGATCAGTCGTAACGGGATCAACCCGGTTGGCCGGTCGCTCTGTGGCCACTTTGAGCAGCCCCAAGGAGCGTGTGGGTTTGGCTAACGTTAGCCGGCTTTTTAGCTAAAGCTCTGCTTTTTATTGAAACAAATTCAACTTTTCATAAAGCCGATTCTCTCGTCAGTGTCACTTTTTGTGCACAGATCAATCACAGCCTGGATGGAGCGGGATTTAAAAAAAAAAAAAAAAAAGCTTGATGTGCTGCAACAAACTTTTATAAATGTTGAACTCATTTTTCTGCATAAACAGTTATGATTACTGACAAGTTAGTAGCCTGATCAAAATCAAGGTTGGAGACTATCATGTAGCCTGGAGCATTTTTCTTGCACAAAGTTAACGAATTAAAAAACAACTCCAAACTGAAGCAGCTGTAATTTGAATTAATATTATAGCCTGTTGGTGGTAAGTTATATGAAATTATATTGAATATAGTAACATAATGAATATATTAATATAAAACTTTTAGTTTACTATGAAATTAACAATATACTTTCAATTTAATGTTGTACTAATACAGTCATTTAGACTGGTCTCTCCTCCAGGCTGTGCCTGTGCTACTCCGCCTACATTACTTACATTATTCATCACTCAGTTTATTCTCTTTATCTTTGTTCCATCCTGGCCTGTTTGAATTTTGTTGTGTTGATCAAGTGGTTGATGAAAGTTATCACACATATCATTGCAGGCAAACTCACACTGTCTAGTTAAAGTAAAGTTAAACTAAAACACAAAATTACACTGTTTCACATTATTTGCTATAATATTGTGTACATAAACGGCATAGTTTATGTAAGAGTTGCTTTTCACAGGGAATCTGTCCTTCACATAGAAAACAGTTGGCCCGTACAGGCCCGTACAGGCTGTTATAGGCAACTGAGAAAGTTGGTGAATGCCTCAATTTGTAGGTGGCATTACAACCTGATGACATATAGGCAATAAATATGTTAGAAATATACTTAAATGCCTTTTAAAACCTCAAAAATGTCCCTTTTAAAGGTGTGTGGCTGATTTAATCTGTTACAGCTCAAAGTGGTGCGGCAGTCTTAAAATATGTTTAAAAAGTCTTGAAAAGGTCTTTAAAAGGTTTTGAATTTTACTGCAGGATTCCCGTATCAGGGATGTGATTAATCCGGAATTCCGGATTTTCCGACCTGAAAATGTGATGCACGTGAATCATGCAGATCTGTAGTAAAAAATTTTAAAAAGGGGGGGGGGGGGCAGTAATAGGCCTACTGCAAAATTACTTTAGCCAGTAAAGAGTAGTGTAACGCATTACTATTTCCAAAACAGTTGTATTATTACAGTTACTAATCCAAGTAACGGTGCGCTACTGAACGCACCACCGTATTTTGGACAGCTTTAAGTAACGTCATTACCATTACTGTGTCACAGTCTAAGATGCAAAGAACATTGTCGTCCGTTGTAAGGTTTGTGCGACCAGCAAAATGTTTTTGACCGCGAACAGTTTTACATTTATACTATAACGCTAATTGAAGCATCAGCTAAAGCAACACAGCAACGTGAAACTCAGAGAGAAACTCTGGCCGCTGCTGCCGGTGATGCTTGGACTCATCGGGGAGAGAGTGCTGTTATAATAAGGCTATCACCCAGTAGTGGGCCTAAGTAGAGAAGTTAATATTACTTTTTTAAGGAGCAGGTCTGTAGCCTATGCTAAGTAACTAGTAGGTAATATTATTTCTGAGTAACTTGCCCAACACTGAGTTGACAATAAGGATCAGAAAAATTGGGAATGTTTTGATTATTGCTTGTTAGAGGCTTTGTCTAATGTTTACTTTGACTTTGTTGTCTAGTGATCACTCACCTGGCCTAAATATACAGTTTGCTGTGTGAACGGTTGCTTTTTAAGTCGTCCTTATGTTAAAGGTTTTGGCACGTTATTAATAAACTTCTTGTGAATGGTTGTGACAGGGTTTAGGCCGTATAAGGCCTTTTCACACGTGTCGCTCCGCGCTCCTCATCAACAGACAGGCAAACAAACAAGCGCTCCGCGAGGTAACCATGGCAACGGCTTCTGTGTGACTGGCGCGATCCCGTTAAACTGTCGCGGTCGTTCTCGTCTCACGCACACGCTGCCAGAGCTGAAATGTCAAACTTTTTCCTACAGTTTCCAACAGATAGAGACTGATCAGCTGTTTGAGTTTCCTGAAGTGTTTCTTTAACAGTCAGGCCACCAGGTCTTAAACAGACCGCGACATTTGCTGCTGTCTCTTATTCATTAAAAATCATCTATTAACTTCAACAGAACTAATTTGAAAGTTATTAGTTACATTATTTAGTTATAGACTCAATTATTTCATGTTTCATGTTGCACATTTAGCTGTTGAAGTTTGGTAAAAATGAATACGAAATAATAATTATTATAGAGAGGTTGCGATGGCGCAGTGGATTAGACCCTTGTCTTTGATTCCCACTGCAACACATCCATTAAATAACTTATTGTCATGGGTCCTGCTTTACCTTCCATGTTAGAGCTGCCGCTAGTTTAATCGGGGTGTCGGGTGGTCTCAGTATATTTTCCTACTTTTTTGCCCTTTGCTAATCACATGCCTGCTGTTTATACCCTGAAGTAGACGTCCTGTGTTTAAAATCCTACACAAGTTAAAGTACAGAAGTGTTATAGACAAATAATAGGAGAGGATAAAAGAATAAACTAAGTTTTGAAATATCTGTTCTGCTTTTGTGAAATGTTGGATAATTAAACCCTGCATGTATTTTATCTGGATAAACCCCTTAAGGTCTCGCACCTTTTATTTCAGAAAACAAAACAAACACATAACACTACACTGCAAAAGATAAAACAACCATGCAGCCTACTCAATTACAAAAACAGAAAATTGGACCATTATGAAGAGCTTATCAGATCAATATATCAATATCAGTATAATTGTGCATGTTGAATTTGTGTTTTTAATGAGGCAAAAGACAAATGGAATATTTCCACTTGTAACGTCTGCAGTGTGCCATCATACTAATTAGACTTTTTCAGTCGCTTATTATAATTTATTACGTAACTAACTAAAATTGTACATTTAAACCATTATAAGGTTGATTAAGTCAATT